GGTCAGAACAGAACCTCAGATTAGAACCTCTGGTCAGACCAGAACCTGTCAGAACAGAACCTCAGATTAGAACCTCTGGTCAGAACAGAACCTGTCAGAACAGAACCTCAGATTAGAACCTCTGGTCAGACCAGAACCTCTGTCAGATCAGAATCTCAGATTAGAACCTCTGGTCAGACCAGAACCTCTGTCAGAACAGAACCTCAGATTAGAACCTCTGGTCAGAACAAAACCTCTGTCAGAACAGAATCTCAGATTAGAACCTCTGGTCAGACCAGAACCTCTGGTCAGACCAGAACCTCTGTCAGAACAGAACCTCTGTCAGAACACCGATCAGAACTTGAGCCCGTTCAGTAGAACTAAAAGTGATGAAATGTCACTTTTTATTTTCACTAAAAACCTCATTGGTCCCATCGTCATCATCTTCATCATCATCATCATCATCAGGTCAAAGACCATCCCAGACCCGGTTTCAGCCTCTCCTCACCGGACCGGACCGGACGGTATCACCTACCTTCCTCTCCGCGGCAGTCCTCCACTTTGTTCACAGCTAAAATCCACAGCACCGAGACCAGAACCGAGCCCAGGCTTGTCCACGGATCCATGTTAGTCCGTCCGAACCCTCGGGGTTCTGCTCATTTCTGTCCGGTCCGCGCACAGACGGACTGAGAATCCGAACCGAACCGAGCCGCCGCCGTCTGGGCAAACAGTTCTGGAGGAGGGAGCGGGGGCATTTCACTGCCGGGGGCGGGGCCTGTCATTGTGATTGACATCAGGTGCAGCCAGTCAGAGGCTGGGGGAGCGAGAGGCCGACCAATCACAGAGCTGCTATCTGAAATCTTCACACCTGAAGAGCCTGCCCGAGTCCGGTTCAGATCCGAGGGTTCTAACCTCGAACTGGTCCAGGTCCGGAATTAGAGAGGGTGCTGGTCTCCACCTGAAGTTACCGAGCTTACTGTGATAGGTTCTTTGGTTCTAGTTCTGTTCATTTACCTGCACAGGTGGAACCCAGTCATAGTTCTACACACCTGCAAGATATTGGACTTAACATCTGGGTCCTGGGTCAAGTCCCGGATCAAGTCCTGGGTCAAGTCCCAAGTTGTAAACGTTGAGTTTCAGGTTGTAAACCAGTACTTTGATCTAAAATAAATAAAAACAGAAACAATTTACAGAAAGGGACTGTTTTATATGGACCGAACCCAAGAAGGCCCAAAAGAATTATAGCTTCAGAAGAATTTACATCCTGTTCAGGACTCCTCCTGGGTCTTGGCTGGGTCTCTGAGTCCTGGTCCAGGTCCAGTCCTCACAATGAGTCCAGCTCAGGTCATGTGACCCCAGGCCTAAAGCTCTGGTTCTACTCTAATGTTTGCTCCCGGGTTCTTTTGGACACTTTGTGACTTAATGCTGCAGAACTTTAGGTTTTGAATCTACCTTTGTGGGTTTGGACCTGAGCGGACTCTGTGTGACAACATCAGTCAGAACCAAAGATAAAGAACCTGAGACTTGAACCAAACATAAAATCTGGACTTCAGGCAGCAAAACTAGAAACAACGCCTTCAGATCAGAGTCAGCTGATTTCTGAGGGACGGGTCTGATGGGACGGGTCTGATGAGACGGGTCTGATGAGACGGGTCTGATGAGACGGGTCTGATGGGACGGGTCTGATGAGACGG